ATGGTGCGCCTCATCCCCTTATTAATTCACACCCTGGAAAAAGATTGAGGTTTTCCCGGCACAGAACATCTCAAATCATACCGGGTCTGTACGGTGTCGAGCAATAACAATTCGATATTATTACCACTACTTACTTACTTGATACCCAACCCCCACTCCGCTGTGCGCAACTTGGTCCAAGCCATCTTCCTCTTCAAACATCTTATGCGTTAGCTCGTGCTAAATTTCCAAATTCCCACTATCAAAACACCCACTCGGTTATCTGTTCCCAAGCTTTTCAATCTCTAGACGTGACTCTTTACGTGGTTTGCCTCAACTCGTATCCATCTACATAACGACTTCGTCATAGCCAATCACCATGCCGAGTCTCTTCTCGAGGATAAGAGGCAAGGATGGCGCCAAACTCAAGTCCAAAAAGAATGCCAATCTCAATGACTTGACCCATCAATTATCTAACAAGCCGCGCTGGGAAGACGCATACACGCGAACAACCATCGAACCAGATGAAGTCCAAGAACTAATCAAGACTTGCACAGAGGAGCTAAAAGCAAGAGGTACTCAATTAATACCACCTACCTTTTCTTTCCATACAAAATTGATAGAATTAAGTTGGCTAACACGTTTGGATGAACAGCCCTCGATCTACCTTTTCTTCTTCTCCCATTCCGCCCGACTTCTGATCCTAGCGCTGTACGCACCTTCATCCGCCACTTTTTCGATGGCAACCAGAACTTGCGCGGCGAAGCCCTCCAGCAGGAGCTACGGATGACCGAACCTATGGTATGTCTTACCATATTAAAATTTGCTGGTCTGATAGATGAGTATTGACATGTATACAGGTCATATCCGGTGTGTTAAAATGGTGTTGGAGCAGACTGCAGGGTGGAATCGTAGGCTGGGATGCCTACGAGTTGTTCAAGGTTGGAGAGCAAGGTATATCGAGCTCGTCTGGTGAAAACACGAGACGCATACTAAGAAATTATTTTTTACGCAGACTCGAGCATGGCGCGCGATTCCTTTTCGACTTTTATTCCACTCAGTGTCGAGAACCAAGCAAAATCCCAGATCATCTTCAACTACTTCGATTTACTTTCCGCCATCGCAGCTCATGGCAAATCCAATGGTTTCGGCGGTCGTAAACTATCTCGTATGGCGGCATGGTGGGCTTTCGAACACAATGATTCTGGTAACGGGTTTGAAGGTGGGTACAAAGCATGGTTGAGGTATGTTACGTCCTAAAATCGCCACCACAACAATTTCTAATATGAATTCTAGCGCTGCTGATGCCACGAGCCATATGTTCTTCGCCTACCTGAGATCTTTATCTCCCCAGCAAGCTCGTGCGGGCATATCCATGCTTCCGATGTCCCTGCAGAAACTCCTGCAAGAAACCGAGTATCCCCCGCAGACCCCATCACTATTGATGTCATCTACCTACAAGGTTGTTATGATTGTCGACACCGTATCGCCGACGCCATTTGCGCTTCTACGTCGTGCTAATCATTTTCAATATCGTGACGAGGATCAAGCGCTTCGCGAATTTTCCGAATTCGAGGACCCCGTGAAGGCTCTGACCGAAGAGTGCCGCAGAGTTCTCAAGGCAATTTCTCTTGCAAATCAGTCCCAAGTTTCTAGCTCGAAGCATTCTACTAGTCTACGAGATGCTTCATGGTCTCGATTTGAAGATATTGGTTTCGGGGACACCTTAGAAGAGGAGGAAGAGGATGATGAGACGGTTAAGATTAATCAAGTTCGGAATCCTCGTGGATTGCGAACTACCCCGGCGTCAGGTGGTAATCTTGGAAGACCAACCACACCTTCTTGGGCGGATTTCCTATCTTCTGGGTTTGTCGATGATGCACCGAATAGTCCATCTAATCTCTTGTTACCACCGGATAAGATCTTGCCGCCTATCGAGACGGTTGTCCGACAACGTAGTTCGCAATCGCACCGTCCACGACTGGAGACCACGAGTCAGCTGGAGCCCGGTGAATTAGCTAGCATTAGTCGATTTGATCTGGACGACGCATTCTGGTGGGTGTGGATGAGCAGTTTAGCCCCCGAGGAGACTGCTGAGCGTAAATCTGCGTTTGGAAGATGCTCCGTAATCGAGACACTCATTCGTCAAGGCCGCTGGCTTGTCATGGAAGAGATGGTGAAAGGGGCCGCCCCAGAGCCTGATGCAAACGCCTATATTGCAGAGAAGAAGGGCTTTTTCAGCTGGACCAGACGAGGACGAGGTGTATCCCGAAGCAAATCAACCTCCAAACCGATCGCCGATAAGGGCGCGAATCCTGGTGCTGTTACGGGTGCTGGTTTAAGTAAGACCAGCATCGGACCCGACCAACACGCGAAGATCCAGGCGGCTGCGCAGAAGCTTCAAGCCAAGCAGCTCCAAGAACAACAGATGACTCCAAAGGCGGAAAGGCGTGGACGTACGGATGCCGATGTTCTCAAGGAAAAGACCAACAGCATCCTTACCTTGCAGCCGGGTGTTGTAAATGTGGCTTCCCCGGCTATGAAATGGGCAAACAAATATGACAAGGAAGCCATCCGCGAGGCCTATCTCGGCAACGCTTTTGCCGGTCGTGGTATTTCTCAAACATCCCTTCAGTTGCCTAGCCATCCACCAACGAATGGGCTTGCAGCAAACGGCAGCAGCTTAAAACCGGAAGCTGTAGAGCGTGCCCCGTCTCCGGCCGTAGCGCCACCACAACCCGAACCCGAACATGAGTCCCCAGTAGTTATTACACCTGTTCCCACATCGCCCCCAGTAGCGGAAAAGAAACTTGAGCCCCCACAAGCAATCCACCCCGCTGAGCGATCAGGGCCCACGGGTAGAGATTCGCCACTACCGCCTCCTCCACGTGAAGAAGAGAACCATGAAGCTGCTCGGGAAAATATGCTTTCCCCCGTACCGAGTAGCCCCGACAACAAGAAGCACAAGAAGCTTCACAAGGATGAGAAGAAGAGCGGCGGATTTAGAAAGTTGTTCGGCCGAAATAAGAATCGACAATCCAAGTTACCAGAGAATGCAGCCACCGACGTCAACAGCTTCCTCGCTTCACAACCATCGCAGCCAGCGCGAAGTGAATCCCCAGCACAGCAACCTCAACCGGCTCCTGTTGATTCGGCCCTTGAGGCACCAGAAGAACGACCAGAGGAGAAGACACCCACGCAAACACCAGTCACTCCTGCACCCCAACAGTCAACATACGACCCATCTATCGATGACAACCTGTCTCGTGTTGATACTGCGGAAGCTGCCGAGGCTCACCAGGAATTCTCTCGTTTCGACCAAGGCCCTCTTGTAGATCAACCCGCCTTTGTCCCCGACGAGGATCAAAGTGTTGACTCTGCCGCACCGCCACCAATTGCTAGACACCCCAGTAATCACCCCCCTATTGAGGAAGACGACGATGTCGGCGCACCATCACCAACTGTTCCGATGCAAGATCGATGGGCTGCTATTAGGAGAAACGCAGCTGACCGTGCGGCACGACAGAGCGAGGAGCAGAGTCGGGGTGCGTACAGCAAGACCACAGATGGCGATGACGACACCAGTGGCGAAGAGAGTAAGAGTCACATTCTTCTATCTAACAATTCAACTGCTAACTTGCAATAGCTATCGAATCTCGTGTAGCTCGAATTAAGGCCCGTGTTGCCGAGTTAACCGGGAATATGGATGGTGCCGCTGGACCCGGAACTCCCCCTAGTCGCCGCTAGGGGCGGTATTTTAAATGAAGACTTGGGTACGAAACAATACGGTTATCAACATTAAACTTTCGCCTACATTATTCTACCTAGAAGCCATGGATTCCAGATGCATTCTTCTCTCTAACAGCATTTGGCACTTGTACAGATGCTCGTTAATACCACCAACCTTGTGCACTTTTTTTTCTATTTCAATGATACCAATGGAACATGCTGTTTCATGTTCCCTTCGCAACCAGGACCAGACTGGGATCTAGCTTTTCACTAATTTGAAATTCGGCGTTTGACGTCCCCGACTACTCCTTGGGGATTCGCGGATGGGAGAATGGTCGAATCTCGGTCTCTTTGAGAAAAATCGGTTTCAAGGCGATACAGTAACCCTGGATGAAGGAGGCATAGCTTGGCTATGATCAGTTTTTCTTGGGTTGCTGCCTACGCCAGTCAAAAAACAACAACAAACATGTCTTATTGCAGATTAATCCTTTCGGTCGTTTCTGGTTTTTCGTGTTCGAGGAGTAATGAGACGATCAGGGGTAGGAGATACCCATTCACAAACAATAGGGGGACGGAAAGAGCTTGGAAGATACCTAGGTACTTTATTCGATAATAGTACCAACGCATTCGCGTTTTTTTCTCTTAAACTTCTTCGATGATGAGTCTCAAATTGCTGGATCGGTGACATGTTTGTCGATGCTAGTGACACATCCTTCTCTATTGTAGATATGAGTAGACTATCTCAATATCTTCTGCTCGATCTAAGAAAAAAGCTCCGGCTTTACATCTAGAATATTAGTGAGATGCTGATACTATACCAACAAGTATCAACAGCTATTAGTTGACGATATTCATAATTTCGCACAACGGCTCGGCTTGCTATATTACTTCAGATTAGGACCCCTGGCCTTCGAAGTAAGGATTGGCAAGTCTCCTTTTCTTATTTGCCCGGGGTACAGAGGGCCGAATTATGAGGTCCCACTGATCATTGTACACGCCGCCGAACTCCAGCAGACTAGATATAAAATAAGGAACAGTCAGTACACCACACCTGTTTCCTCGTACTAATATACCTAAGTATGTATGATTAGAAGAGTCCCCAAAACGATACCAATTTGCAGCTTATTAACACCATCCTGAACAAATGTTGACCAATCATTCTGCTCGGCGCATCCGAACTTCTCTTCATCCGAACAGCGTTTACTTAATATCACACTAAATTTCTGTGTAGCATACTATAAAGTGATAATTATCTCTTAATTCACTAACCGGGGTCATCGAAGGCTTACAAGTTCGAATTAGTGTAATTGGCTCACACATGATATTGCTCTGATAACTGAGCTATCAAGCTTGGGGATCGAATCCCTGATTCGAATATCTTTTTTTTCCCACCCCTTAGTCAGAGATATGGTAGTTTGATATGTACTACGATGGCTTGTGTTGAATTTGTCACACACTATTTTGACAAAATTTTAAATAACGCGTCATCAGTGAATATGTAGCCATAACTTCATAATACAAGGGGGGGATTTCTCCTATATGCCAAGCTGCTTTCTCTCATTCCTCAGTGTTACTTGCACTGATCCTTTATAGTTGTATGAAAGGCAATAGTTCCTGTAACTCGTCGACAGGGTAGAGTTGTCTTGGGCAGAGCTAGGAATGCACTTAATGAATGCTGACGCGATCACAGCCCAACCCCCTTGTATCAAGCACATTTCCGTCCGTGTAGCCGTTGGAGGCATTAGTAGAGCTTGAAGCTTAGATTCAAGTCAACAAGTAGACAACGGAGAATGATCCCGCGTGAGTCAGCCTCGAAGAGTAGCTGTTAGCTTGTTTTCAATTCTTTGCTTCTTCTTCAGCTCCGCCGCCGCCCTCATCTTCTCATATCAATCAAGCCACGAGCTACTGGGTATGTATCCGAAGTCGTACAAAAGCGAAAGCCACATCCAGTCATCGACGCTCCCTGCCTATCCGGAACACCGAACGCGGAACTCTGAGACAAGTGGCTTGTATGTTCTATCTGCTTGACCCTGATTTGTTAGCCGGAGCGTGGGATGGAACTTGGGGTGAAACACCTGCATATACGGATATGCCACAACATCTTGACCGGTATAATTCCTCGTTTCATACATTCGTTCGTCCTATCTTTCTTCAAACAAACTATCAAACGATAGCCGCGCGTCTACTCATCCTCCGAAGCCCCTGCCCCTGTGGAGGTGAAAGCTTAGCTTGGTCTACCTAGCTTGAAATGACCTCATCACCTTAATCTTCGTAACACAGTATACGTAAAATCAGCCCTACGGCTAAGTCACACGAAGCTATAACTGTTGTCCGTTACCGGTTGAGGGCGATCTTAGTTTCCGTATGGGGATCTACGGATCATGCCCTAAAACCGCCACTGCTTACTTTTAACCCACATCGAGCCAAAATAGGGGTAATTAAGTTGATGTCTCCGATACGGCTACTCACATGCCAAGTTTTTTTTTTACTACACTCACTGCTCTCGGAGAATAAAGACGAACGTACCTATGGGCTTCAGTGAAGTGGAATAGGGCGTGGTCGTATGAGAACGTACGGCAGATCCTTATGGAGCTACCAACATACATGCGGTACCTACCTACATCGGTACCCAGCTAGTTCCGTGTACCAAAGCAAGCATTTGAGTGAATACGCCGTATAAATCGAACCTTATCTCTAAATGCACGACATACTTCCATCCAAACAAACTACAACAGTGTACGTCCCCCCGGACTCCCCACCCCTTTCTCACCCACGGCCATGTAATAGCCTACTCCACGCCCGTCACGTCAGCCAGCCCTACCGATCCAGGCAGTGAGCAACATGCCAAGTCCCAGATCAAGCCATAAGCACTTTTATGTAGGTCTAAAAGACGTAGGAGCAAAAAGCAGTGTAGTCCACCACCCGCTAGCCACTCAGGTCCCTTTCTAGGACGTTGCTGCCTCAGAAGGTGATATGGCGCGGGACCTGCATATACCCAAGTTCTGAACCCACTGCCCTGGACTTCAGCTCGAGGGATTGGGGGCTGTTTACCCATCCCGTCCTTCCCGTTTGGGTATTCCGTTGACTGGGTACTTGCCGATGGATGGATGGATCTGTGACTTACATCTACCAACCAACTAGCCATATCCACTCACACGTGTCTCTCTGCACTTACATCTTACTTACCTACATACGCACGTAACTACGGTGCGGGTACGGTATGGTAGATAGGATATTGTTATTACTGCATAGCCCGCGGCCACCTTGATCCATGGTCCCCGACCCAAGCCCACGGACCGCGCCGCCTTTCCCAGAACCCCGGTTACCTACACGCTGCTTACGTCCTCCTAGTATCTTCTTCCACCCAATCTCTGCTCTTCTTCGGCCCTTTCAACTCCTCCATATTCTCTCAATCTCCACCAATAATCATCTACTATCCCCCTTTCACCTCTAGGTAAAAGGGGCTAAGCTCTAGCCAAAGACCAGGTCTAAACCCAGCCAAACCCTCACTCTGACCCTAATCCTCGCCTTTATCCACCGTAATACCTAATCCGGCTCCGTCCCGGCACAGCAAATACCCACCTAGCAGTAATACCCGATCTACGCCGCCGCGTATACCACTAAAAAAGACCCGGTCATCCCACCGCCGCGTCTGTAGTCGGTAAGAGATCGACGAACGCCTCTGAACACGATCGAACACGGCAGACATATCAGACTAGCCACATACCCGGTCTGTGGCTTACCTAAAGACGCCTACAACTCTCGTAATGAGATCTGATGAGATAAGATGACTTCGCAGTCTGCCTACCAGTCTACTAGCTCTGTTTCATGTCTCCTTACTTCCCTACCTTTTCACTCGAGTACACACCTAAGACCTAGGTAGGTACCTACCCAGGCAGGCATCCCAAGTTCGGCTTCCAGCCAACCAGTTCAGCTGAACCTTCTCTCGCCTTTCCAAACACCCAGGATCAGGTTACTCACGTCTAGTCTTGGCTCCCGCTCCCTAGCTCCCTAGCTCCCACGACGTCATCGCTGACCGTAGGATTTAGCTAGCTATCTGAATCCCGTAGATTCTCGTATCCATTATCACTCCATTGGTGGTTGCTCCTTGTTTCTTCCCAAAGTCAATATCAACGTCAACCTTAAGTAATCACAAGGTAGGTAGTACTATGATACGTAAGTAGGTAATATTGAGGTCGTAAAGGAGCTCTCGGGTCTTTTTTTTTCAGATAGGTACCTAGATACATAGTAGATATTCACAAATAATGAAAACATCACAAGAAGCCAAAAAGAGTGATTTTAGAAGTCAAAATGCAAGTCTCATTCAGGATCTGGTAACATGTGCCCAATTCCCATCCGCCTCTGGTATCTCTAACAACCTTAGGATAGTATACAAGTCCGTTAAAACGCCGCCCCATGTTCGTCTCAAAAAGTTTCCCTCTCAAACTTTTTTTCCGGATAGAATGCGATGAAGCTAGTTAACCACAAATTCCATTACTCATTCGTCGTGTCCGTCTCTAAAATCCACCGTTCTCGACAGCTCGCGAGCTGCCAAGTCGTATCAAATTTTGAGGTTTGAGATCGAGGTAAAAACACACAATAAAAAAACCACCATGATGAGAACGCCTGAGCGCCACGCCAATGCTGCGAAGTGAAAATGAGTTGCATGGCGTAAGACATAAACGAGCGAAGCCGCCGCAGTTTGAAGTTTAAGCCAGCAAATGCCAGGTAAAAAAACACAAGGAGGTATCCAAATGACTCGTGATCCAAGCGCAGATGTCCTCCGATGCTCTATAATGTTGTACAAGTGCGGGTTGCGGTATAAACAAGTGTTAAAATCAAAGAATAAGAATTTAGGCAGTGAATCGGATAGTCCAAGTGAAATGAATATACACTAAAGGACGACTAGCCGTCAACCCTAATCCTCTTGGGCTCGCCACCATCCGGTCCGTCCGAATGGCCAGCGGTAATATCCGGGCTCTTCCGCTTTGTGGCACTCGGTCCGTTGTCATCTCTTAAAAAAGAAGGACCCGAGCCGACCACCGGCGTAGCGAAATTCAGAGGACTTGGAAGGGTGTTACTGTCGCTACCTCGAAAGTTCCACTCGGGGTAGAAACTGCTAGGACTAGGTAGGAATTCATTGTTGAGGAACCTAGATGGAAGAGCCGAAACAGGTGTGTCGATGTTCATGCTGTTGTTGTTCTGAGCCTGTGGGTGAGGTCTAGCGAATGGGTTTGGCGGGCCGGTTGCTCCCGCAGATAACATAGCTGATGCCGAAGGCGAAGGGGGCGGAAGAACCACACCAGCTCCGGGGCCCTCTACACCGTTCCGACGAGCAGACTGGGCGGTAGTATCCGTGGTGGTACGGGGAGAGGTAGCTGTGTCGCCACCGGCAGTGCTACCGGCCTCAGACTGCTCCTCGGGAATTTGCACCTTTAGGCGGGGCCGCGATCCACCCCCGACCTTCAAGCTGTTTGAGCGAGAAGGAGGTGTGAATGTGGTTTCGGGGATTGTAGGTATGGAATTGCGGGAATTGGGCAGGTTGGAGGTGTTAGAACGTTGCGGCAAAGATGGGGATGAGTCAGATTTGGCACGCGATACAGCTCCAACATCCACAGATTGGGACCGATTACCATCATCCTTACTACGCGGCTCAGCAGTAAAAGAATCCAAATGCATAGACAGGATCGATTGATTTTCATCAATCGGGGTAAATATGCTGTGTCCCTTGCGCTGCGGCAATTTTTTAATCGCCGATGTTGTATCTAACAGGCGTTGACCGGTCCTCTCCTGGAGTGGTTCATGCTTGGGTTCCATGGGTGCAGGTAGTTGGGGTTCCGGCATTGATTGCGACATCTGTGGTGGCTGTTGCTGCTGATGTTGCTGGTGCTGGTGGTGCTGAGGCTCTAGGTGTTGAGGCGGCGGCTGGGGAGGAGACATGTGAGGTGTTTGCTGAGGAGGCATTTGATGAGTTGGTTGCGGCGGAGAAGGACGCGGCGGCTGGTTCTGCGGAGGGCCTTGCGGAGGGTAGCTAGGAGGCACGGATGACCGGCGCTGTTCCTCCATATACGACTGGACCGGAGCGTGCTGTTGGGCAGCAGCGTATTGATGATATTGTGCCGGAGCTGCCGGCGGAAGACCGTGCTGATAGGCATTTTGGTTCTGCGGGTTGTAGATAGCAGGCTGAGGCATGTACGCGTAACCATTTGTAACTTGCTGAGGAGCGCCTGGTTGAGGGACACGTAAATCGCGGCGGAAGTCATTTCGGGAAGACGGTCGGGATGCGATTTGCGGTTGCGGGGTGTGGCCTCGAGGCGCGAATGGCATTCCGTTAATGGGAGGCGACGCGGAAGGAGTGTGGTGCCTTAAATGGGGG